CACTAGAGAAGGATGTCTCATTCCACTGAGGAGACTTGATAATGGCATTATTGCTGGGCATAGGGGCTCACACCTGTAATCCCAGGATCTCACAGGCACAGTCTAGCAGAAGGACTACTGTGAGTTCAAGGCCAGCATGGGCTACTAAAGGAGGTGCTCAAACAACAACAAAAAGCCAGCATTTATTTATGCAAACAGTGTCAATATTAAGCTTCTTGGTGGAAGGTAGGCTTCAGGGATAGTGACAAGTCACAGTGGGGAACCCATGCTCAAAGGTAGAGGGACTAGAACCTGGACGGAACTGCTACTGCAAAAGGCCCCTCATAGGAATGGTACCTTTACCAGAGGGACACAACCAGCCCAGCTCTCCCTGGGACTGTCAATGCAGAGTATACAGGCAGGTTAACAATGTTGACGGAAGGGAACACACTTGAAAGGTAGGAGGACGTGCTGGGCACAGCATCTCGGAAGCCCAGCAATGCTAGTGCAGCTACACAAACAACACTGAACCTTCGGATCCAGGGGACTGAGACAACCTGATGGCAGAGCATTGGACTAGCACGCACGGGTCCTGGGGTAGATTCCTAGCAACATACATACAAGGGCAGGGGACAATATTGACTCCAGCTCCAAATTCTACCTTGTCATGGAAAGGTATCTACAATGTGCAGTTATTGGGTAAGAAAAGTAAATTATAAATTGGTAAACATACAAACCAAATTTGGCTATGTAACAAATATTCACATAGGTCACCTATGTGGGAGGTACATTTGTTTTCCCCAGATCCTTGATACACAGCTTCTCAGTGTACCTGCCAGTGAGCTGCAGGGGTCAGGCTCGAACTTGACTGGAGAACTCAGATAACATCTGGAGTCTGGCATCAGAGGGCCCTCTTAGGCAGAGCTCTTTAGTAAGCAAACTCCATTACTTCTTCATTAGCAAGACTCTAGTAGGACGTAAGAAACAGGCTGGTGTCTTTACTGGATGCTCTGTTGCAGGCTGATCTTCACCAGGCCAGCACTCACAAGTCATCTTGCCCAGGGCACTTCACCAAGGGCTGCATCACCAGCAGTAAGCAGCATGACCCCAAACCTCTGAGCTAAGCATGCTGTCAGGCAGAGCACCTCGGCCATCAGCCAACCAGCCCTGCTGGTCACAGTACATAAGATGCATTCGGTGGATCCGCGGGGGCTGAGTTCTCTCCCATCTTCTCTCGGAAGAGAAGGAGGCTCACAGCCCCTCCAAGACCAAAGGATGTCTGCCTGGCTCCACCAGGCCAGTGTACGCTCCCTCTCTCTGTAGTGGTGGTGGCGAGCCACATGGGAAGAGGGTCACATGAAGGGCTTGAACTCCACTGCCTGCCAGTCACTTGGCCACCACCTGAGGATCACCCACAAAGAGTGCTGCCTTTCCTAAGGTTGAAACTGTTGGGGACTGTGGACTCTCAGACCCTGAATTTTCTATGACCCTTTGCCTGCCGGAGTAAACAGCTTGTTTTCCTGTGCTTGCAGCTGCTCTGAGCAGGAGACCCTGATGAAGGAGCTAGGGCGTGGCCATGGTCAAGGAAGGCACTATATAAGCGGCCCTGGAACACAATAAAGTTGGCATTCTTGTTTCAAGGATGATCTATATCTCTGTCTGTGTGTATGTATTTCAATCCCCAGGCTCTTGACCAACTCGTGAACCACCGTCCTTTAGTGCAGGCGGTACTACAGGCATAGTATCATAGTACACAAAGTACAGGCGCTACAGGACCGTAGTACATGTAGTAGTATGGATGGTACAGAAGACAGTCTAGATTCAGTTGTTTCTCCAAAGCTCCAGGAAGTGACAATACTAGAATCTGCCATGTAGCTACCTCCTTGGGCACGCCAGGAACTGTGTTAGGTACTTCCACATGTCCCTACTTGGGGCTGTTCCACAATAAAGAATAACCCTGAGGGGGGCTGGAGAGATGGCTCAGAGGTTAAGAGCACTGGCTGTTCTTCCAGAGGTCCTGAGTTCAATTCCCAGGAACCACATGGTGGCTCACAACCATCTGTACTGAGATCTGGCGCCCTGCTCTGGCATGCGGGCATACATCGAGGCAGAATGTTGTATACATAATAACTAAATAAATTTTTTTTTAAAAAAGAATAACCCTGAGGATGTAGAAAACATACACGGGATGTGGAGTGGATGGTGGCAATGGCTTTAGAGCCAAATTCACAGAGGCCCAAAATGTCTCCACGTTGCACTGTCTTCTAGAAGCGCCAGCCAGACTCACAGCAACTCCTCAGTGCTACGCCACAGCTGCCCTAAACCTTTCCGTCTCCCTCCCAGGCCTCAGGGAGGAGGCGCCTGTGTCCTGTCTTCTTCAGAGCTGCTTCCCCAAGACTGTGGACCCAAAGTTCACCAAGGAGAAGCTAAGCAGGCAGAGGATTCAGTGATGTAGCCTAAGGCCCTGCCGGGGCGGGACACGAAGTCAGCACCAAGGCCCTCATATGGGACAGCCCACCAGAGGCTTGGGTTCAGGACTAGTCCAGCGAACAACTTCTGAGATTTTTTTCAGAGAGAGGAATCCACAAAAACAAGCAAATTATGGCTCAAAAGCAATGCTGAGAGACTGGGGATGTAGCTCAGGGGTACAGAACCTAGCATGTGGGTTCCATCCCCAACACTGCAAAAAAGACTGTCGCTGCACTTCCAAACATGGGTCCGCCCCCAGAACAGCACACGGATGCTGGACTACCCACAGCATGCTCAAATCTTTCATATTTTCTCAGATTTAAGAGGAAGCAGTGCAGTCTAGCACAGTGGTGCGCATCTACAACCCCAGGACTGCAAGCTCAAGACCAGGCCAGGCTACACACGAGACCAGCAAATCAATCAAACAAACCCGAGAAGCACAGCGGCGCTTCTGATGCTTCAGGCTTCCTGCAGAAGTCCAGAGCCCAGCGTGGTGGCTCACACCAGTGATCCCCCAACAGTCAAGCAGTTTAGGGCCGTGGCCAGGAAGCACATCTTAAATTTGAGGCCAGCCTATGCCACATAGTAGAACCCCATCTTGGAAAAAAGTGTGTGTGTGTGTGTGTGTGTGTGTGTGTGTGAAGGTGGTAACAGCACAAAAACCTTATCACATTATAAAGGAGAGAAACTTTGTGTAGGTCTAAGTGGCCAGCTTCACTCAGGCTGGGCACTGCCATGGTGATCTACCATGTTCTCAGGAGGAAACACAAGGCAATGCCACACCTGAGTGGACTGTGCTTGCCCAGCATTAGGACCTTAGGATGAGGACGCTTAGGACAGGGAGCCATGAAGAGGAAGTCAGCCAGCCAAGCCGCCTTCTAGCAGATCCCGCCATACTGCTCTCGCCTCTCTTTGTCTGGTCCCAAGTCTACTCTCTACCATCTTCGTGCCCCTCCACTCACACTCTAGGAACTCAAGGTCCTCCTCTCCTAGCTCCAACAAATGACCTGTCCATGTTTTCTCTTCCTGTGTTAGCCTCAGTCTGGTTCCACTTCTCCATGGTCCTTCTGGAAGCTCCTCTCACACTCGGGCCCTGTCTGCTGACTTTACTGCTCCCCTATGTCTCTGACCACTCCTGGGCCATCATCCTAAAGATGTTCTGAGGGACATCTTTTTCCTTCCTTTCTTTTCTTTTCTTTTCTTTTCTTTTCTTTTCTTTTCTTTTCTTTTCTTTTCTTTTCGAGACAGTGTTTCTCTAGCTTTGGAGCCTGTCCTGGAACTTGCTCTGTAGACTAGACTGGCCTCAAACTCACAGAGATCCGCCTGCCTCTGCCTCCCAAGTCCTAGCACCACCCAGGGAGGGACATCTTCTTACACACATACTCTCCAATGTAATCTGGGGCACCCAGGAGCAACCTCACTCAGTGATTTCCCTCTAGAGCCTGGCACCTTTCTGGAACAGGTCCATCAAGGCTTTGACTAAGCAATGAAAAATCATTTGCACCGGGATTCCTGTGTCTGTCTCAACAGTCCCAAGCCTGGTCTTATCTGGAGATAAGGAGCAGAAGGAATTGCCCTGCCCTGTCCAGTCCCACTCTGGGAATGGGATGGGCTTTGGGTTACATAACTTTGCAGCAGGGACACCATCAAGCTGGGTTAGGCATAAGGGCTACAGACTGTTTGCAGGCAGGTGGCAGCTGTACTGCCCCCTCCTTTTAGAGAGCTTAATGCATCCCAAGATTGTTCCTGGGAGACAGGCTGAGTCCACTTCAAAAGCAGCTCCGTCCCAGCAAACAGACTGTAAGGCAAGAATATTCCCAGGGTATTTGCCAACCATTCAGACCCATGTTCTTCTGCCTAGTAGGACACTCTAAAAGTCTCTGGGAACTAGTCGGTTCTACCTCCAAATGTTTAGTAACAGTGGTTAAGAAGAACCCTAGGTCTCACACCAGAAATGCTTTCTCCTCACCAATCTTTGATCCTTCCAAAGGCTCTGCCTAACCGAGCTGGGAATGTGGGACGGGCTGCGTGCATCTGCTGGGAGAGGCTTCTGGGTTGCAAGAACATGGCAAGAATAGCCAGGAGAAACCCAGAATAGAACATCGTCCCTGGAACCCCTCTCCACAGCTTCTTCCCAGCACTCCCGACTACCCCCACCTGCTGCCCTGCTAAGCCTGCTCTTCCCTCAGCCTCTCCAAGGACACACAGCCAGTGCCAGGGCCCTTCTGAAGTAACTTCAGAGTGAGACAGGCGGAGGGGCTCCAAATGTTTCCAAACACATGTCATTTCTAGGAACTGTCCCTCCCTCAGCTCTGCCCTGCCCTGCCGGGCCTCCACCCTCAGGTTTAACCATTCAGGGACATTTCCTCTGGGACCTGAGCTTCTTGGAGCGTGCCACAGTAACTATCACCAGAGAGAGTCTCAGCACAGTGCTCAGGGATGGGGCAGCCCTGGCACAGATCCTGCTCCTAGAAGCCAGTACACGGGTAGCTGGAGTGGGCTACAGCCAGGTTGGCCAGCCCAAATTCTCTGTAACATCACAGCAGCCTTACCTCGTCCCACTCAGAGGCAAACGAAGGTGACTTCTCCAGTCTCTTCTTCCCGAGGCTGCAGTTGGACAAAGACTCGCTGCGACTCCCCATCGTGGTGTCCTCCGTGGGAGAGCAGGTCAGGAGGTCAGAGTCAGACTTTGACAAACTGCGGCTGAGCTTAAGCTCAGCCTTGGGCTTGCTAGTGGGAGGGGCTCGGCTTCTGGCCCCGCTCCTGTCCTCCTCTTCCTCAGCCCCAGCAGGGTGCAGAGCGACTGTGTGAGTCAGAGTCTGGAGGTGTACTCGGCCGGCTGCAGCACTCAGGCCTGCTGGGAAGCCCACTCTCTTGCTTTGGTCCAGGACGCCGGGCTGTGGGTTTCCAGTGCCTTGCACGCCTGGCTCCTCTAGTTGCATGCTGGCCTCGTGGCAGGCGTCCTGCTGGGGGGACTCTGGGTGGTTCTGGCTGGGGGCAGTAAGCAGCTGGAAAGGGTCCTGCCCCACCTCACACACTGGGGAGGAGCCGTGGAGGAGACCTGAGAACTGCTCCGGGACCTGCCCGTCCTGCCCCTCCACAGAGTCCTGGCTCCGGCTGCCGCTGCTCCGCCTGTGGTCTTGGAGTGGACAAAGAGAAATAAAAAATTAAACGTGGTAAGAATCAACAGAGTTCTTATGCAGCGCGTGATGGCAGAGCAGAGTTCACAACAGAGAGGAAGAGCGAGGCTGGGTAGGCTGAGGGGAGGGAGAGAACAGAAGAGAGGAGGGAGGAAAACAGTTTCATATTGTTCATGTTCAATTTGTACCCAAAGTCAGAGCATTTATGAAATTCCAAACACTGGTCTGATTAATGCTGCCTGGCAGCCATCCCCCTGTTAGACCTCTGTTAACATTAGCGACCAGACCTTGCTATATAAGGCCAGGAGAAGCGCTAACTACAGACAGAAAGGACACACATAAGGACAGAGTAAGGACAGAACGAGGGACAGGGAGCGAGAGTGTGCCAGCGAGAGTGGCTCCTGGGACACTGGATACATTTCCATGAAGGCCAGTGTTATTTAGAGTCACCCGCCCGCCCTTCCTCTGGCAAGCAGCTGCCAGAGGGGAAAAGGGAGGTCATGATCACAACCTGCAACTTCTGGAATTCCTTAACTGAAAGTGCAAAACAAAACGGAGGGGGAAGTAACTGCTTCCTTTCTCCTCCAGGTCACTCAGATCCACATCCACGCCTCGTCCTTCCGCAGGAACAGACTTTCCCCCTTTTTCTCTTTTGGAGAATGTGTGCGCCTCACTCCTGCCAAGGCCTCCCAGCTGCTCGCTCATATTTGTTTAAGTTTAACCTTAGCTGATCCACTAGAAAAGGAAACAGTCTAGTTTGTCAAACCAGGAGACAGCTGCTGCTCCCGGGAGACCTCCCTTACACCCTAGAAACCTGACACCGCTAGTTCCCGAGGCCAACTACTGCCACACTCTCAGAGTTCTGCCACGAAGCCGTGTAAATCAGCAGCGAGTCCAGTCTCACGCCAGTACCTCCCTGGGGCACCCGGTGGGAACTCAGTCCTAGAACAGATTTTCACCCGTGCCATCCGCTGAGGCAACACCACACCCAGCAGTGAACCACATTCCAAAGCACATCGTCCTGCGTGAACAGAAGTGGCCCCTATGCCACTTCCATGGCACGGAACCAAAGAATTCCTGATCTGTCCAAACAGCCCGAGAGAACCCTTCATGGGGCTGGAGCGCCGCAGAGCAGAGTCTGTGGTGCCAGTGTTTTCACAGACGAGTAATCTGTGGCCCCAGGCACTGCATACTTTGCCCAGGGCGGTTGGGCAGAGGTTCACCCAGGAGGAAGAACTGGCTCTGTCCTCTCCAGCTGTGTGGTCAGACATCTTGCTGAGACTCTGGCTGGACTATTTGATGCTTAAAAATCCCCCAACCGCCACGACCGTGATGAGAATCCCAGTCCCCACAATCAGAGATGGGACCTGTCCCTTGGATGCTGTACAGTGCTGCCTGGTGCCTCCTTTGCTGCAGAGCGCAGCTCCCACTCCACACTTTCTTGCTTTCCCACTGGCAGCTGCAAGGTCCTTGAGGAGGCTCAGTATACAACACAGGGAAGGAAGTTGGGGAGAAGGGGTGCAGATGACCAGCGTGTCACATATATGAGGGGCATGCTAGGGTCTCACAGTGCTGGTTCTTCTGAGAAAGTCTCTATAGGCCCCAACAACCAGCTCCCTCCAGGTGAGCTCTGGGGAGGTCTGCAGGCAGAGGAGCAGCCAACTCACTATTACACTGATCACTAATCCATGGGAACTCAGAAGTATGAACTGCGGTGCCTCCCTTCTTTACATCTGACCACTCTGGAGTTCACACCCTCCATTCACTAATCCTATACTCTACAGGGCAGGTCCTGCGCTGTGAAAAAGACAACCTGAATGAGTTCTCCAGGTAGAGAAAACAGAGAAGAGTTCCATTCAGTTTAACTGGGGCCTGAGGAAGCTATGACTTCATAGCTGCACACACACTATGACAATGGGCACCAGGCCAAAGCTGCCTGCTGACTATATGTTGAGGCTACAAAGAAGACAGCACGTGACCATCTAATGGAGGTTCGGGGTAAGAGTGTTTTCCTTGGAGAGGTGGATGGGTCTGCCATCTGTTATCCCTGTTGATATTCAGGAAGGGGCCTGGGTGCAGGACACGGGCCTTTGCTCCTCCGCATCAGCTTCCACGCTCTTAGGAAACCATTTGTGGGTGGTGAAGGGGCCACAGAAGGAGAACTCCATAGCCCAGCACTGGGAGACTTCTTGGCTCACCGAACCGGTAGGGCTCAAAACCCAAGTCAGAGAAGGTTCTGGCTGCTTACTGGGGGAGCTGACAATGAAGCCCTTCAGACAGCCACTCATTCATGCCAGCCATCAATGAAGAAAGGGAAGCAGATGCCAACAGCAGAGAGATGCCAGGGAAGGCTGTGGGCAGGGAGAAGGGAGAGGAGCTTGTGTAGGAAGGAGATCTGTGGAGGGAAAGAACCTCCGCCAGGCACAGAAAGTATGACCTGCAAATCTGTCACAGGAACTTTAGAGTGTCAGTCTGCCTGACCCCCCTCTGTCCCACCTCCCTCTCTGTGTGTGCTGAGACAGTGTCTTACTAGGTAGCCCCGGATGGCTTAGAACTCTATAGCTCAGATTGGCTGCAAACTCGCCATCCTGCTCCTCAGCACTGCCAACTACATTGCATGCCATGATGCGTGGCTGAAATCAGGATCTTAATACGCTAGTGTGTTGTCTGTCCCCCCAAAACTGTACCTAACCTAAACGTGGAGGCTTAAGTGACTTTTCTATTTCTGGAAGAAAACACCATGACCAAGGCAACTAATAGAAGAAACTGGGGGCTTACATTCTGAACAGCAAGCATGACACAGAGAGTGAACTAGAAATGGTGGAAACCTTTACACACACTCCCACTGCTGCCCCAGTGCCACGCCTCCTCCAACAAGGCCACATCTCCTGAGCTTCCCAAATAGTGCTACCAACTGGGGACCAAGTACTCCAACGTCCAAAGCTGTGAAGGACATCTTATTCAAACCATTCCAGGGCTCAAATCTGTAATTCAATTCTGGATTCTGAGGCAGGAGAACTGCTCTGAATCCAGTGTTAGTCAGGCTACATAGCAAGATTCTGTCTCAACAAAAGCAAGAAAGGACATGCTGAAAAGGCATCTGTGTCCAGCAGTCCCAACAGGCTGCACTGCTCTTGATGGCACACACTTTCTCAAGGAGAAAGGTTCTGACCACGTGACGCAGGCACTACTACAGACTAGGATCTGAAGGAGTCCATTCCAGTCCACAGCAACCCAAGAATAGAACAGATGATGGATAGGCGTCAAGAGGTCCAAGTGACTGTCCACCCAGTGACCTTCCCTCTTGGGATCTTGCTCAGAACATGAACAGCTGGGATGCATGAGGACACCCTGAGACTCTGGCGTGAGTGTATGACTGACCGCCTCTGTCTCTGCAGCCCCTCGGGTGGAGAAATGGAGTCGTGGGTCTGGACTCTGTGGATCAGGGTTTAAGTCCCAGCTCTAACCCCAATGCTGGGCATTCACAGCCACTTGTTTTCTCGTCTGCAGCTGCTGCAAGGCTGAGCCTGCTCCAGTCTCAAGAAACAACTAACCCATTCCTCCTTAGGTTTACCTCACTCCGCCAGCTCCCCAGGGTCCCTCTGCTCATCGTGCTCACTCCTCAAGGTTCCCCCTGCTCACCACACTGGCTCCCCCAGGTTCCCTTGGCAAACTCTGCTCACCCAGTTGGTTCCTGAGGCTTCCCTCTAGGAATCTCTGCTCTATGTTCATGGTACTAGAATTCTCAACAACCATGAAGAACTGGCGCTCCTTATTTACACAGAAACTGAACTTCCAAGAAGGTAAATGACCCTGAAGGCCACTGACCAAAAGGAAGCAAGCAAGTGTTCTGATGCAAGCCTCAGCACCTGACGGGGTCAACTTAATTCCTTCTTCTTTCTGAACGCTCTGATGTCACCATCAGAGCGACTGTCTTCTGTTCTTTCAAGCCAGCATCTTTACCCACAGCACTTTCTGGAGGACGTGACAGTCTCCCCAGAAGACTGCAAGACAGGTTGTAACTGCTCCATCCTGTCCCGTGTCAATACCAGGGAACAACTTCTTCCCCTTTGCCTCAGAGGAGCCCTGCACCACTAGGATGTAGCAACAGCCCTCTGATCGCCCGACACTTTCTAGTCCTCTCCTATCCTGGAGTCACTGCACACGGGGTTAATGGTAACCACGTGATCCTTTTCCTCTGCTTCCTTGACCTGCCATTCTTAGAGTTTCTGCTACCTGGGATAAAGGCTGTGGTTGCTGCTTGGGACAGCTTCACTCCGCTGTCCGTGTTGGTGTGAAACTTGTGACCTCTTGTCTTGCTCACCTGCACATCAGGTTTTAAGGCTATTCGAGTCACATGCTCAGTGTTTAGGGACTATCTTTAAAACGCCTTCCCATGCTAATGACTTGAAAGTGAACAGTCAAAAAGGAAGCAACAGGTCCCAGGTCTGTGGAAACACAGACTTCCACCCAGCCCTGTGCTCATGTCTTAGAGATCATTCAGTTTGCTGCTTCCCATTCTTTCCTCTCCGGCTAGCCCCTTCTAACCTCAGCCTCTCTCCTAATCTTCAGAAGCTGTCTCTAGTGCGCTGGGCATTGCCCACACAGATGTTCTGGATGTAGCGTTCTCCCTCAATCACGGCCTTGCCAATCCCCATCTGCACTGGTTACATAACACTTTCTCAGCCAGGCTAGAAACCTCAGAACCTTCCTCAGCGCCCAGCCCTTGCTCACCCACACTTGGAGGCACCCTCCTGTTATCCTACCCCTGAAACCTTATCCCACCCTTCCCCCTCTCCATAACTTCCTTCTGTCCCTCTAGGATAGGTTCTAGTTACCCTCAGAGATTCATGCCGGTTCCTGGCTGCAAGCTATTCCTGCACCAGCCTTTCCCGAGCCAAGACTCCTGAGCTCTGTCCTTTTAAAGAGCGGCTCCTATGCTGTCAGCCACTCCTAGAGTTTCAACAGTACCGCTCTGTCTCTGGAAGAAAGACTGACA